TCCCCGCCAAGAAGAGCTGGAGCTTCTCTGGCTGGCTACCTTCCCTGGCCAATTAATACCCTTTTTAGGTCGATTTCTACGATTTATTCAGCCCACAAAAGAAGTCTGGTGGAGACTAGCCTTTAGATAAGAACTTTATTGACACAACAAAAAGTACAGCGACTTTCGTAAGGTCTAAGACATGTAGATATACAGACAAATATACATGGGTACAATGAAAATATGCTACGCACAGAACAATAGGCGGGTCAACTAATACTACTTGTTCTAAGGTTTAAACATTCTTTGATATATTTACCTATTTGTACACAGTAAGGGTTATTGCCTTCTAGGATGAACTTAAATTTATCAATAGCATGAAATGTAACAAATTCTGTGAGCAGGCGGAGAGAAGGTTGAACAGCTTTGTGCGTTTATCGTTAAAGGAATAGAGTCGCGACGTGTGTTTGGTCCCAGAGGAATCTGCACGCGTGAGTCACCGCGTGTTTTGACAGCTACAGACAAGAACAAAAGATTGTTTGGAATCACGATAAGGACGGGAGGGGTGACGGGGATTAGACTGGTGTCTACTGCCAGACTCGTCGTCATGACAACGGACATCGCCCTTAGCTTCCTCCCTAAGGCCATGTTGATTTGATTATATGGATGACATCCTCCGGGAACCCCAAAATTGATGCGCGCGTGCGAATAAAAAAAAGTTTTGCAAAAAAAAAGTTAGTTTTCAATAATGAAATCTACGTGGTCATGAGGGTTGAACAAATGGGACAGAATATGGTTTGGCGAATAATCTAGTCTTCAAGTTCATTTCTTTACAAGTTCGTCTTTTTTCGTTTGATTTTGGCACTCTACGACATTGGTATGTTTTTTTTTTGTAACTTACGGTATGTTTTTGCTCATTTTGCAACTGTTTTGTACGATTTACAGTATGGTTGAAAACTTTTTGTTTTGAAACGGCCGAAAATTCATGCGCGCGTGGATGTCATCCATATAATCAAATCAACATGGCCTAACAGACGTGGTTTGGATCTGTGCCAGAGTACTCTCCAACCAGAGGTTGAATGGGAAGATTGTGACCTTTTTCTATGCCCCGTTTTTTTCTGACTTCGGTGGCCGGTTGGATACTGTCGGCCGGCTGGATACTGTCCGCGTGTTGGATACTATCTATTTTGGCCACCAAAAGATCTGCTTGGAGATTATGCCAGAGGACAGTCAAAAGACTGACATTTTCTCCTTAGACTCTGGCGTTTTTCTTTGAACTGCAAAGTCACATGAAGAACAGAGGGGAAAGGCAGCGAGAAGGTAAGGGAAAAAGACAAAATTCAGAAAAGGAAGAATGAAAAGGGAAGAAAAGGGGTAAGAGCAAGGATGTTAGGCTCTGTTTCATTGTTAAGAAGGAAAGAAAGACCTAAAGAACGTAAGAGGAAGAAAGAAGGAATGGGAGAAGGAAGAAATGGGAGCTACTGACAACAGTCAAATTTAGCCAGATATGGAGAATATTTGGGTTTAGCCATAGCAGAGTTCCTTTGCCTGCACCTTCGGACGGGGAAATGTTCTTGCCAATTATTTCCCTTTTTACCGAATTCTACGATCCGTACCCCGGTAGGGAGGTCTGCTGGAGGCTAACGAAAACTATATACAGGAGAATATTTGCCGGGGGAGTTTGGCCGCCTTGTAGGGTTGACTGGCCGCGCAGTTCGGAGGGAAAGAAACTACTACATGTAGTACCTCCCTGCGGCCGGACTCCCTTGGCCAATTCTGCTCTCTTTTTTTGCCGAATTCTACGATACTTACCCCCGTAGGAAGGCCTGCTGGAGGCTAACGAAAATGCGAGGGCTCAGAAAGGGACACCATAAATTCTCGCCAAGGCTCAGGGCTCTCTAAAGTCAAACCTAGCCTGTGAAACCCAAGCTCCGGGAGGCTCCCTACGGCGGACTAACTAGGGAGCCGGCGAAAAGCGAGGTTCTGTCAGGCTAAGTCAAACCCAGCACAGCGGATTGTGATGACGAGAGACGATCAGAGTACCCTTCTCCTACTCACCGGACGTGTTGCCCAAATAACAGATCTTAGATTACACAAGCCAACAGTCCTCAAGGTAAGGAACGCCTTACGATTTACCCAAGTCCTTCAAGTCGTAAATCTTCACGCAGTTACTGTCCTTGGGTGAGATCCTTCAGTTCCTTGTTTTCTGTGTCGAGAGGGCTTCCCTCAGCAGTCAATTTGCACAGTATGCTGAGTAAATCAATTAACAGTGATTGGAGATTAGCGCGTCGCGACAGGGGTCCTTACTGAGATAGCGGGAGATGTGGAGGATAGATTGGGGGGTTGCCGGTTGTTTTCGCAGGTTGTTGAGAAGGAGGTTATCCAAAACACACCTGTCGTTTCCAATCAAATAGACTGCCGACTTCTAGTCTCGTGTTCTAGCGCAGGGTTTACCGGTAAACACGCCTGGTTTGTTCTGTGCGTTACTGCCGGGTTTCAGACCACACTTCGACTCCACGCTTTTTGCCAAGTTTGAGTAACGCACGATGTGGCGTTTTCATGTCTTCTACTTCACTGAGCTGATTGATTCTAAGGGTGTCGATTTCGTAAAAAAATCCACTGCTTGGTAGCCTCTACCAGGCTTCAGAAGCGGCTGAAAGAGTAAAAATTGACCAAATAGACAGATAACATGCCGGGGGAGTTGGCTCGATAAGCGAGTATATTTCTGGAGCTAGCGGCGAATATACCGCTTCAGCTCCCCTGGGCCTGGCATGCTATCTGTCTATTTGGCTTCTTTCTACTCTTTTCAGCCGCTTCTGACGCCTGCTAGAGGCTACTAGACAGCTACACACATACGGAGACGTCTAAATTGACACAGTGGTGGAAGGCAGGGGTTACGGAAAGGTTGCGGGTTAATTTGTCCTGTTTGTTTTAGTTCGGGGTGGGGGCTGGTAAACCACAGACAGGTTCCAAGGCTACATCGGCCCACGGGACCAGCCGATAAAGAAGTCAATGAAATCAAGACGCGAAAACGACAAGGCCAAACAAAGAGACTACACTTCTACCGCTCCGTGAAACGTTCCATTTGTTCCTGCCGACTTGAAATCACACGTTTGCTGTGTCTCCAAGCAGAGGTGTGGGTTTCGGCTTATTTTTACGTGTTTTTTTTTAAAGGCGTTTAATCGGGTTCTTTTACTGGTAACTTTTTATCCGCTTCCAAAATGGATCTTTTGTGCTAAAACAAAAGTTCCAACTTGGAACATGTGACTTCCAACAAAGATGGACTTTCGTGATATGATACTACCCTGCCGATTTGATACTGCCTTGCCAAAGATCTGCCGGAGATAAACGCTTGTCTTGCTAAACCGCCGGGCCTGAGGAGGCCACCGCTCACTATAAACCGTTTCTAAAACCCACGACATCGATACCGACACACATACAACACTTCCTACAAGCAGCTCCAGACCAGACACATTCCTGCCCGGACTCAGTTTCATAAACAAAGGCTGAAGGGTGTGGAAACATGTGCCGTAGTTGGCAAACTTTAGAAGGGACTAGTCAAGGTGATACGTACTGATTTCCTTCGGTACTGAGGGCTGCTCTAGGCTATTGGCACCACCGTACCCTTGTCTCGGACCAGCCTGGCGAACAAAAGACAAAACGATGTAGACTCAAAGTACAATCAAATCAAAAAGTCATGGAATAGGCCATACAACTGTCAAATGCCATTCACAAATCAGAAGGTATGAAGTAAAATGAAAGCAATTAAAAGCGGTGAATGTACGGAATGCAGACTGGCGACTGCTAGCTTAAACCTAATTAATCTTTAATCAAGCATTCAAGGCTTGATTAGCATTGCGGAGGCGGTGCGAATTCCATCCCATCTCTGCAATTTCCTGACGGATTTATACGGCTAACAGAAATTCTTATAAATAACAAACAATGCTTGAAAAAGTAACAAAAGATGCTCACCTGGCCATAGTAGTAAGGTTGACGGGGTGCGCTCTGGACAGAACAGGCGAGAAAAACCGCAAGAAAGACAAGTCTGGGGAACATGTTGAAGAGATACAGGGTCTTGGCTCAGGGACTTCTGTGCACCCGGCAGCTGCAGTCTGAACTCCGCCGGTTCACTGCCGCGCCTTTATACATATGCAAAACCACAACAGTACACAACCGTCGTGACGTCGACAAATCACAGCCTCACAAAGCCGTGACGTCATGCTCCTCGGGGACAGGTGTTTGTGAGCCATAACATGGATGTACCCCCCCCCCCCACTTCTTGTTTCTACAAGTCGTCTCCGAAGTAGGGTGAAAGTACCCAAGGACCACAGAAGGGAAACAAAGAAATCGTTTTACGATTGTTGCACGGTGCATTCAAGGGGGCGTAATACTCCCAACTTCCCTAACGTCATAGGATGTGCCACAAGAGGAAAGCGGAGAACAAAACAACTTTTGGTTCGTTATGAGGACGTTTGGTTTGACATAAGACGGAAACTGTCTGAACAACAATCTTTTCCAAAATCCCGTCAGCGAGGTTGTGTGGTTAGTAAAGAAGGCGCCATTGTCTGCTGGTTGATGCGTTGTTTTAGTGTGTAAGCTCTTTGATACTACTCTCCAAGCAGAGGTTTGGGGTTATTTTTGGCGTGTTTTTATGCTTTTTTGTCGGGGTTTCTCTTTTGCACTGAATTTTTCCCCACCCAACCCAACCTCTGCCGGCACTCACCCCGGGGCGGGGCAAACCTATTCAAGAAACGTGACAGTGCTCCTCCCCGGGAACCATCAAATTATCATTAGGGATATCCATTTTACTGTGGTGGATTATCACACATCCAGCCAGCAAGGCATTCGGCCACACACCTCCTGCTGACTGTGCCTATTCATTACTCTCCAAGCAGAGATTTGGGTTTGGGGTTATTTTTGGCGTGTTTTTAGGCTTTTTTTGTCGGGGTTTCTCTTTTGCACTGAATTTTTTCCCACCCAACCCAAAACTTCAGTGCAAAAGAGAAACCCCGATAAAAAAGCCTAAAAACACGCCAAATATAACCCAAACCCAAACC